GATGTGTATGAAAGGGTTATATTCAAAATGTGACCCAAATCTTTTGTTGAAATGAGAAATCAGATTTATAATTTACTTCGACTGTGAATGCCTACCAACATTTCTATCTTAATACAAATTTCAGCAAGCAACTAGCAGATAATAAATTGCTGAATCACAGATCTTGAAAGAAAACCAATATATCTATCGTCTTGATTTTAGGGATAGTCATTCAAGACACACACACTGTTTTAAGAGACTATGAGACGAGGAATGTTAACAACCTTCATTGTCAGGAAACTTCCTAAAATTTCGCCCAAGTGCCTCATGCATCACTTTAAGCTCATTTCCTCTCATTGAACAGAGGCAGGACAGCTGGTCAGCATCTTCCATCTGCACTGCCTTCAGCCTTCCTCTAACTGTGTTACACAACACCCTTCTGAAATGGGAGTAGGAGGTCAATTTGAAACAGGAGAGAAAACTCTCAGGAAAAAAAATCTTGCGGGAAATAGCGTTTTAAACTTAACTTTGAATGGGGCTATAGGTTAGGTCAGGGAATGGGCCAAAATACTGAAGTGCTGTTCCCTGAATAATTCAGACTAATTCTTAAATAGTATTCGGGGGTCATAAAACACCAGGCCTGGATATTGAAGATGTTTGTACTTCATCAAAAAGTCTTTGAATGTGACTCTCTGGCATACTGCCAACAAGGTCAGCTCTTTGGGGGAACACCCTATGCCAAAGGCCAAAGAGGCAGCTGTGTTACTCAGCTCCTGAGAGCTTCCAGCTCAACACCCACACAAGCTCAATTATGAACAAATTAAAGGGATCCAGACTGAACATAGTAATTCTGGTAATTTAAATAAATAGAGGAAAGTCTACAATTAGTAGGAAAAGATTGATTTTCTGGGAAACCCAGAAAATGACACCCTAACCCCTTTGAATAAGCATAGTTACATCTAATTATTTAAAAATAAATTCCCTTTAGTCATCATTTTAATCATTTCTGATCTGACTTAAATGTGGCCACATGCATGCCAGCAAAAGTATCCACAAATATTGAGGCAGAATAGCCTCAAAAAATCTATAACTTTTAGATACATAGGAATTAATGACCCTGAGTAAAATTATAATCAGAGTCTTACACCTACATTTTAGATCACATAGATAAATGTTGTTACTCATTTCTGCCTTCTTCAAATGCACAGAAAAATTAAGAGTCATTCAGAAAGAATCAAATATTCAATACTGGGGAATCTATTAAAATAAACTCACTATATTAATAAAGAACAAAATACACATGATCATCCTGTATAGATCCTTAAAATCACTTCATAAAATTCAACATCCATTCCTGATTAAACAAAGTGAGCAAATAAAAAACTTTTCAAGAAGCTAGGAACACAAAGAAACTTGCTTAAATTGATCAAAACATTTCTATCAGGAACCAAGAGCAAACATCATAAATTAATGGGCACACCCGTGGTAGAAGCATTCCTCTTTAATCTTTAAATTCATTTTTGATGAGCTGATCTCAAGTTCATGTGGGAGAATACATGCATGTGAAGGGCCAAAATAATTTTAGAAAAGAAGAAAAAACAGAGGAAGATAGCTCTATAAGTTATCAAAATACAGTGTAGTCAGATGACAATTGAAACAGGGTGATACTGACATGGGACAGACCAATGTATCAACAGAACAGCATGTCTAGAAATCACCCTATGTATGAAAGGGAATTTAGTATTCAATGTGACTGCATTCCAAATTAATGGGGGAAGGACATAAAAGTCAGTACATGTTATGAATAATTTGCCTATTTACATGGAGAAAAATTTTTCCACCTCATAAACCATGAATAAAATTATTGCTAAACATGGAAAAAAAAAACCCACCAAGCCTTTAAATGTACAAGAAAATAAATGAGATAAATAAAACCAAACAGTCATGAAGGAAAAGATGGAAACATTTGACTATAAGATTAAAGCCTTTTTTATAGAGGATATCACGATCAAACTAAGAAGACAAATAATAGATTGCAAAAGTTATTAATAACATACATAACAATATTCTAAAGATGAAAAAGAATTAACAAATGGAAACATTTTCGGCAAAGAATACGAATAAACAAATCATAGAATAAAGAATAAGAAATACAAATGCACCAAACCCCCTTATCCAAACCAAAAGATGCAAACTCTCAATTAAGTCCAAATTTAATCAAAAGGGGAAAAGTAAATAGTAAATCAAGATTCATTCATATAACGTAACACTATACGATTAGTATAAAGAAACACAAGTGTGACGGAGATGTTTGCACATAGATGGAATGGCAATTAGGTAGAGTATTCTCTATAAGGATATACATAGCAAATTATGTTAAAATCATGTTTGTATCTCGGAAATAAAAGGAGGAGACGGGGATGAGAAGTCTTTATTTTTCACAATAAGAACTGTCTGTCTTTGGAAACGTAAGTGAAAAGAAATCAGTGGAACCCACTCACCTTGAAAATAATTTGAACATAATATGCAAATGAAAATACTAGCTTAGGCTCAGCAGCAAAAATGAAACAAATAAAAACAAAGAAGGTACCGATGAGGCTTAATAGCCTTTGAAGAAGCTTAAAGGCTTTAGAAAGGAGGAATATCCAACATAAATTATGCAATAAATAGGAGGTTTATCTTTTTCATTTTGAACATATGAAATTGTTGTTTTTCTAGGTCAAAAACAATCAAATAGCACTAATTTGCTGTTCAACCTAAATACCTCAATTTTTTAAAACTTTTTGAAGAGTGGATCTTGACCCTGCTGAGAGGATTATTCCTCTAAGCATAGTCACCAACCTTTTTATCAAATATATTAATTCCTTATGTTGGCCCAGTGCCATATATGGAAAACTAAACTACTTACAGTATCTTTTTCATCTAATCAAACAGGAAAGACACTTCCAAATGTTTACCATTCTGGTATCACCTGAGCTTATTCATTGAGAAAAAACAACATACTTATTGAGCTCACTCAATTGTTCTGAGAATAGGGGTTCAGAATGGCCCTAGAATGTTGACCTCAGAGCCCTCTGAAAGACTGTTAGCTTTAATTTGGCTTTTCCTGGAAGGGACCGAACTTTGATAGTTTCTTACAAAATGTTTTTACAGCATATTTTACCACTTGTGCTGTATGGTGCATTTAAGCCAATGCTTTTAGTTTGATACCTGTATCCTGAAGACAATAGCTCATGACCTTTGCCCAACTACGTAAAATTGAACAAACATTACTATTGTCATTTATGTTATAAGTACAATCAAATGCAAAGGGTGACTGCTAACTATTCATATTTTGCAAGGGCTATCTCATTCTAAGCGAGAACATTTCTCAGAAACAAAATTTTCAGTAACAAAAAATGTAAACAGAAAAACAGTTTCTGGACATGGCTTAGGCTTTGTTTCTATGGAACTGATATAATTTTCTTCTTTCTTAAAATGGATGCTATTTTTTTCTTTTGCAGAGACTTTTTTTTTTTTTTTTTTGCGGTACGCGGGCCTCTCACTGTTGTGGCCTCTCCCGTTGTGGAGCACAGGCTCTGGACGCGCAGGCGCAGT